ATGGATCCTATGTCTGGACTAAATAGGTTAGTGAAGAGATATATTTGGGATCTTAGGCTCATGATGGATCCTATGTCTGGACTAAATAGGTTAGTGAAGAGATATATTTGGGATCTTAGGCTCATAATGGATCCTATGTCTGGACTAAATAGGTTAGTGAAGAGATATATTTGGGATCTTAAGCTCATGATGGATCCTATGTCTGGACTAAATATGTAAGTGCCACATGAGTAAATATTTGCAGGAAAATTTATTTTTTAGGTTAATAAAACAGTCAAAAAAACAATGGTTTTTGTACGCTTACGAATTGGAAAAATTATTTTTCAAACTTGTTTTTTCTTAAGTTTCCGCGAGAATTCGTTTTCTCTCGATTCGAATATTGATCGACTTAGCATATCTTTGTTATTTAAAACTTGATTTTACTAATTGTAATTTGTTCAGGGGATATGCTTTCATTACATTCACAAACCGAGATGAAGCGCAGGAGGCAGTTAATCAGGTATATTTAACCCTAGAGGTCCTGTAGCAGAAGGGGGGCGGGGTTTATTTAACCCTAGAGGTCCTGCAGCAGAAGGGGGCGGAGTATATTTAACCCTAGAGATTGGATGGGGGTAGAGAGAGCTGCAGGTTTCAAGACTCAAGACAGGGTTTAGGTCAAACATTTTTTTCGACGATATTTTCGTAATTATTCTGTAACTGGGTTTATCGTTCACACCCACCAGTCGAATCCATTTTAAAATTTTTGATTCTTCTGATTTGTTCAATCAAACAATAACTAATCTGGATTCAACTTGTGGAATGACGTGGAATGATAAGCACGCAAAAAATTTACATTTTTCCCGAGTTGTAGTGTTGGCGCGGCCCAACTTAATGCAGACTCTGTGCGCTTTCAAATGCAAATTTTTGAAAAATTGCGAATTTCCCACGCGTGAAGGGGGAAGGGGTGCAATGAGGGATCTATTGATAGAAGAATTTTCTAATGTTTTTGGCACCCGGCTACACGGCCCATGAATATATTAAATGTGGTAGTGTGACGGGTGGGGGGTTGGGGGGGGGATGGATTTGGGAAGAAGTACAAAGTTGATTATTATATTATTTAAATCAAATATGGGGAAATATTTATTTCACAACAAAATATCTAATGTATATGTAATTAAGTTTATATTTTAACAAACAATTTTTCTAGTTTTTTTACGACGTTTTAACTCAAATTTGCAGTTGAAACGCACTTAGTTTGACATTCTGTTAATTGTGTTCCAACTACTACTCTTATATTTAGTTACTTAGTTATTTCTGTGTAATTAGACTATTTCAATAAATTTACATCGCCCCATCTCCCGGTATGAAAAATACGCAGAATTAAGGGGGGGGAAGCGTGTTAGCGTTAGTGTGACATGAATATTAAGTGAATTGGTCTGTGTATCCTGATATGTCAAAAGAAACGAGCTTAATGTTTTAGGCTCAGTCATATATCTACGATGAGTATACAGACGAAAAATTTAGATTCTAGACTTTGTTTTGGTTTCAAATCTTCGATATCTTTCAGTCACGATTGGAAAAAAATGTCCTTAGGTATTTTTAAGGTTTAACCTTAATTTTGGTTTCAGCTGAATGATTTCGAGATCAGGAAAGGGAAAAAACTTGGTGTAACAATATCTTTCAACAATCACAGACTTTTTGTTGGGAACATCCCAAAAAATAGGGACAAAGAAGAACTTATGGAGGAGTTTACAAAACACGCACGTAAGTCGGTGTGTCGGTAACTTTAACGCTGTTAAGTGCCGGTCCAACAAAGAGTTCCAAGTACATAACTTCTTGGCGTACTTATGCCTATTTTACCAATTTTAAAAATCTTTTATTGATAATTTGTAGAATGTCAATTTGCCTTCCCTTGCCGCAGCGCACATCGTGCTAGTCTAAACCTAGTCTGAAAATCAAAGGGAACTGTGAGCGTAATTTCAAGTGACCCTCCATGCAAAGATGGCAATTCCAGATTCACAACGGTACCCTTGAAACCATAAACTGATAAAAATTTGGAAGAACAATCTACATTTTTCTACATTTCTGATAATTTCACAATTCAATTTTGCAAAGAACACAAAAATGAAATTTTACATTAAAAAACCAATTAAAAAATGGATTAATAATACACGGCTTTTAAGGGTACCACTGTAACTCGGGCATTGCCAATTGCCATCTTTGCTTGGAGGGTCTCTTGAAGTTACGCATTCAGTCTCTTAATGTTTAATTTTAAACTTTTTTAAAGCAAATAGCCATTTCGAAAGGAGTTGAACACTTGTCTTGAAATATAATTTTCTAATCCTTAAATCTTTGCCCTAATGGTGTAATTCTTTGAAATTTTGAACTTTGACTAATAGATCTAACATAATTCATTCATAGTTTGAAATATCGGAGGTCTACAACATTGGGTTTCATGGATAAAAGAATAGAAAATTAGAGTTTGAGCGAGTGTTAAGTTCCTGTGTACTTGGAAATTCGACACCTGGAAGGTACTGGATACACTTAAATCACAATATTCGGTGTACATCATCATGTGTATATTGGAGCCTGCAATTTTAACATCTCTAATATCCCGTGATAAAATATTTGGATAGGTTTAACATTGATCGAGAACTCAGTAAAATATGATATGTTAAATATATCCTCTCTCTCTCTCTAGGTTTAGTTTTACATCTTAGGTTTCTGGTACACTGCTTGTAAGCTTAGCATTCTTTTTATTAATATAATAGCAGACGAATACTGTATAGTCAGTGTACATTTTATACCAGTGCTAAGGATCCGGATCCAGATCAGGATCCGTTGGATCTGCAGGATTTTGGCTTCCTGGATCCGGATCCGCATCCTCAAAAATATGTGGATCCACGGATCCGGATCCAGGGGGTAAAATATCAACCAAAAACTGCAAAAAAAAACCTTTTTTACTCCTAAAACCCAAATCTGAACTTTTGAAAAAAGAGAGATTATAAAAATTTTCTCATTTCTGAATGGTTCATCAAGTTTTAGGATAAAAAATTTCGAAAGAAATAAAACAAAAAATTTGAAAATTATTTTTTGTTAAAATGATTCAGTAAATCTTATAGAAATGACCTGAATCCGGATCCGGATCCATTTTTTCCCAGTGCGGATCCAGGATCCGGATCCGCATCAAAATTAAATGGATCCTAAGCACTGTTTTATACATAATTTTTACTTGGTTTTTTGGTTTTAGCACAATGGTATTGCTTTTTTTAACCTTAATTGTTGATGACAAAACCTTAAAGTGGGAATTTCCCCCCACCCCAAACCCTCTCCTCTAAGTTGGTTTCCCATTATTTTTCTCTCTAAAATAATCTGTATCGCTAGGCTTTTAGGGCGCTTCGCGCCCATCTTCTATTTCAACTTTTAATTGTGGTTTTATCTGTGACCATCTTCTCTTTGTAGTTTGTACAGTATAAAACAAAAACCAAACAAAAAGTTTGCGGATTTCATAATATTTTTCTGCGCATTTTCAAAATTTTACAAAAATAAAAAACTTTAAGTACAAATTTTAAAAATTTTGATCATTCATAAACCTTCCCTGGGGTCACGTGAGGTCCCACACAAAATTTGGGCCCGATCGGTTCAGCCCTTTTGACTATTATTGGATACAAACAAACAGACAGACACGCTAAATTTATATTTAGAAGAATTTTATCCCTAGCTACTAGCTAGCTGTGAAACTGGTAGGGATTCTAATAAAGAAAAAACACAGGTTTCATGGTTATTTAACTTAAATATTTGAAGTAAAAGTAATTTCATTTGTTTACATTTATTTTGATTAAACCGGTATTTTAAATTTACTTTTTTACATAAATGGGCAATCTTCCTTACCTTAAACTTTCCTTATATTGCATGCTTAATAGTTCAGATTTTTAGATATTTTTTTTAATTATGAAAATGAAACACAGTGAAATGGATCCATATTTTATCATGAAGAAAGTTAAATACAAATTTTTATTCTTATTTGGAAATTGATTTTCGATTTATTGAATGTAAATGGATCCGTACCACTGGCATTTATGTAACAATTAATATTTCCAGGGTTGTCAACCACCTGGAATATAAAGATACCAACCTTAGAAAACACAAAAATTACAGTTATTACTTCTTTTCCTGTGATAATCATGTAATTTTTTCTTTTTTTTTCTTAAATCCCCCAGAAATTACCCGGAAGGGGTAATAAACAACCAAAAGATAATACAGCACCAGGGTTGGCAAACCTCAACATTTTTTTGCATGTCATTTGTTAAATATTAATCACTGATCACAAATTAGAAAATAACATGGTGTAAACTAGAATTATCTGGTTTTTTGCTTCTTTTCCACACCTACAGGTGTTCTTTCTAATTCGTGATTAATTAACATAAAAAAATATTATGTGGTGGTGGCACTAAAAGGAATTGTAAGTGTAATTTCAAGTGATCCTCTGTACAAAGCTGGCATTTCCTGATTCACAACGGTACCCTTGACACCTTTACCTGATCAATATAGTGGCAGATATTGTCGTTATACTAGATTTAAAAGTGCTCATATAAATCTTATATGTTTGCTGTTTGCTGTAGTCACTTTTTAGAGAATCTACAATTACATTTTTTTAAATTAAAGTATTAATATCTAGTTCATACTTGATCAGATAAAGCTGATAAGGTACTGTTCTGAATCGGGCGTTGCCATCTTTGCATAGAGGGTCATTTGAAATTACATCAACATTCCCTTAAAGATTTAGAAGAAAATTAAATTTTAGCAAACGTACTTTGATCTACAGTGACGTAGAAACAATTTACAAAAAATATAGTCCACACAGTTAATGCAATTATTATGAATCAAAACTTTTATTAAGAATCGCAAGCAATTAAATTTTCTCACTTTTTTAATAAAATAAATTCATGACGGTTAGGGGTTCTATTTGCAATTATTGCTTTTCCAAAAAATATTTAACTTTTGACGTTCAGTTTGATAGCTCACAATTTAAAGATTTTAACTTTGCAATTTGAAAAATTAATTTTAAAAAAGCAATAAATTTTCTAAAATTTCTTTCAAACAAAAGCAAAAGATTTTACAAACCATATTTATTTATTCATATTTATTTTGTAAGCATGCAATTATTCGTTGCAATTTGGTATTTCTAAATATTTTGCATGATTCATTCAAATGGGATAGACCTTTGATTGATTGATTGGTTGATTGATTGATTGATTGATTAGCTGGACTGTGCGAGGTGATAATCTATAGTTCTCCTGACGATAAGAAGAAGAATCGTGGTTTCTGCTTTCTTGAATATGATTCACATAAGGTACATTTTCAAAGAAAAAAATACGGTACGCATGGTTAAAGAATATTGCGGGGCACCGGGTTAAAGAAAATGCGGGACACTTGGTAAGATAACAAGTGGGACACTTGGTTAAAGAAAACGTGGGACACTTGGAAAAAGAAGAAGTGGAACACTTGGTGAAAGAAAATGGGGGACACTTAGTCAAAGAAAACGCAAGTAAAAGTGGGACACTTGAAAAAAGTGGGACACTTGGTTAAAGAAAATGGGGACACTTGGTCAAAGAAAATGCGGGACACTTGGTTAAAAAGGGGACATATGGTTAATAATAAATGTGGGTCACTTGGTTAAAGAAAATACGAAACATATGGAAAAGAAATGGATGAAACTTGAAAAAGAAAATTTGGGACAATAAACGTACTTAACAATTTTTCTTGTGTTCTTAGACGCATTTCAATATTTGTTTTGAATGATATAAAAAAGAAATCGAGGTTTGGACTTATTTTGAATATTATGAAAATTTTAGGCAGCCAGCCTTGCGAAGCGTCGACTCGGTACTGGACGCATCAAAGTTTGGAGTTGTGATATAATAGTTGATTGGGCAGACCCACAGGTATATTCACTTCTTATTCATTCATCTTATATTCATTTTTTCATTCATTCATTCACTTAACAGTTGAGTTGGCAATATTCACTTCTTATTCATGCTATAATGTATTTATTCATTCATTCATTCATCCTTTCATTCATTCATTCATTCATTCACCAAAAAAGTTGAGTTATATTCTCTTCTTATTCATTTTTTGTACATTCATCCTATCATTGATTCATTAGTTAATGCATTCATTCACCTAACTGTTGAGTTGGCAGATCCAAAGTTATATTCACTTCTTATTTATTCTTCATAATTTCATTCATTCAACAATTCATTCATTTATTTAAAAAATTTCATCATTCAGTGGTTCATTTGGTTATTTGTCGTTTCATTAATTATCCTAGTTATATTTTTTTTGATAAATTATTCTCTTTTTGTCGTTTTCCTTGTTTCCTTTCATTCGTGTATTTAATATTAGATCCACATATCGTTAATCTATACAACTAGCTATAAATTGGTTTTTAATAATAAATTTTCTAACCGATTATTTCCTGCAGGGTTTTTCCTTTCTATTTAAGTTATGTCATAGTTGTAACAGTACCAAATTAACATCTTAATCTAATTAATAAAGGGAGAGATATCCTCGTTCTTATAGCTTGAAGTGTATAAATATATATTGTATATATACTAGGCTTTTAGGGCGCTTTGCGACAATCCTCTTTCTTAACTTTGAATTGTGGTTCTATCTCCTTTCTACAGTACGTACAAACCAACAAGAGTTCGCGGTTTTTTAGATATTTTTAGCGCATTTTACATTTCTAAAATTTTACACAAATGAAACGCTTTTGGATGCAGCTTTTTGTAATTCTGGGCATTCTTTATTTGGGCCGATCGGTTCAGCCGTTTTGACATTTAGTGGATACAAACAAACAAACAAACTGACATATTTTAAGGATAACGTAGTAAATTGGACCTTATAAATAAAAGGTCGCTAAAAGCGAATTGTTCATTTATTCGTATGATCTATTTATGGTCTATGCACACAAAAAAGTATTATTTTGTATTATTTGAACTTCTGCTTTTGTAAAGATTAGAGGTTAATCTTTTGGATCCGTCCCTACAACACAAAAGGGTGGCGACTAACCATGCTGCTTTATTATTTAAATCTATATTTGGTTCGAAAATGCACAATTTCGATTTATGATATAAAAAACTTCGACTAACAATATGATTTTGGTTCAATATATTTTTATCGAAAGAAAGTAATGAGTGATTGGTTGATTTAAGGGAGTGACCGGCAATGTATGGTAGTTGAACTAAGACTATATTACCATTGAGATTTTTTTGGAATCATTTGAGACCTATGAGACTTTTTTAGGGTGCATATTTTAGGAATTTGAAGATGCGAACAAATTCATAAAAATAAAATCAATTTAATAATTAAAAAGAAACAATTAATTCTAACGATGATTTATTGACAAATTTCTGATGAAAAATATGTTCGTAAACATCTAATTAGTTTAATGTAGAAATTTTGTTACATTTTTCTTCGTTGTTTTTGAATAGTTTTTTTAACCGATTCTTAAATCATTCCTCCAAAATGAACAATCATTGAGGATTTTAAATATTGAATTTGCGCTCTAGCGGAACAAATTTGCGCCTTAAGAACGTCTCAATAATATTGCAATCTCAGTTCAACTACCATGCATTGCCGGTCACTCCCTTCTGTTGATTTATTGATTCATTCCTTTGTGCATTCAACTTTTTCAGCTATTCTGTTTTATTCTTCATTAATTCCATATTCATCATTTCAATCAATCACCATTTCATTCTCCTATAAATTTATCCACTCTTTCATTCTTCTTTCATTCATTTGCCAATATATTTATTCATTCATTTGCCAATTCATTTCATCGTTTTATTCACCTGTGTATTTATTATTTATCCATGCATTTTGCTTTTTTTGTTCGTCTATATATTTGATATTTATCCATTCATTTCATCTTTTCAATCACCAATATATTCAATATTTATCCATTCGTTTCATATTTTTATTCGTCTATATATGTAATATTTATCCATTCATTTCATATTTTTATTTGTCTATATATGTAATATTTATCCATTTATTTCATCTTTGTATTCGTCTATATATGTAATGTTTATCCATTTATTTCATCTTTCATTCGCCTATATAATTGTAAAACAATAGGCGGCGTCGATGATTGATAGATATTAGTCTAGTTGATAGTATAACTTACTAGTTTTCAATGTTGGAGTAAAAAGGTGTGATTAAGGATTTGAGGGTTTGATGGAATAGTTTAAAACATTTGTAAACACTTCTAAAAATATAAATCCGGATTTTTTAAAGTGGAATTTACTGGATTGCAAAGTTATTCATGTATTTGATCTTTCACTTAGTAAAACGTTTCACTGTTTATCAAGTAGTGATTGATGGATTGGTTTATGTATGGTTGATTGATATGTGATTGAATGATTGGTCAATTTATTGATTGATTTAGGATGAACCGGATGAGTACACAATGGCTAAAGTACGTGTTCTCTACTGTAGAAATCTTACTGCTCAGGTCACAGAGGACGATCTTAGGTTAGTTTAGATCTGGGGACGTACTGTACTATGCCAACTGTTCACCTACATCGTACACTATACTGAACTGTTCAGTTTACATTGTTCACTTTATAGTACACTGTGCACCATTCAGTGTTATTAACAATGTATACTTTTACTGTACACTGTAATGTTTACCGTAACCTGTACTTCGTACACTATACTGTACACTTTACTGCAGAGCCCGTTCTCTCCATAATAAGGTTTAAACAGTGGCCGTGTTGTTCACGTATTTTGGGGGACGATAGTTCGGCCGCTAGGTGTCTCACGCAAAATTCTTATCTGATAGATAGATAGTTCTTACGAGAGACATCTAGCGGCCAAACTATCGTCCCCCAAAGTACGTGAACAACACGACCACTGTTTAAACATTATTATGGAGAGAACGGGCTCAGGCTTACACTGAAATTACTGTTCTGTACCACTTGTATTCGGGGAGGAGGGAGGGGGGTATTATGGGGAAGTATAAAAACTTAAATGTTAATTTATATTGTAAAAATTTATTTGTAGGGATTGTTTCCAAGAGTTTGGTACAGTAGAACGTGTAAAGAAGATTAAAGATTATGCTTTTATTCATTACGAAGATAGAGAACAAGCAGTTCAAGGTAATTCATTCATTCATTCATCTGAAAAATGTAGCTCTGGACAAGCTGAATGATCAGTATCTGTCTCTATTTTGTCGTCGTTTTTTACATCAATACAATAAGACGACTTTCTATTTCAATTTTGATTTCGATCAATCTTTGAAACAGCAGAGACACATACATGTAACACAGAGCTTACTTGTTAACTTGTTTACTTGTTTACTTGTTTACTTGTTTACTTGTTTACTTGTTTACTTGTTTACTTGTTTACTTGTTTACTTGTTTACTTGTTTACTTGTTTACTTGTTTACTTGTTTACTTGTTTACTTGTTTACTTGTTTACTTGTTTACTTGTTTACTTGTTTACTTGTTTACTTGTTTACTTGTTTACTTGTTTACTTGTTTACTTGTTTACTTGTTTACTTGTTTACTTGTTTACTTGTTTACTTGTTTACTTGTTTACTTGTTTACTTGTTTACTTGTTTACTTGTTTACTTGTTTACTTGTTTACTTGTTTACTTGTTTACTTGTTTACTTGTTTACTTGTTTACTTGTTTACTTGTTTACTTGTTTACTTGTTTACTTGTTTACTTGTTTACTTGTTTACTTGTTTACTTGTTTACTTGTTTACTTGTTTACTTGTTTACTTGTTTACTTGTTTACTTGTTTACTTGTTTACTTGTTTACTTGTTTACTTGTTTACTTGTTTACTTGTTTACTTGTTTACTTGTTTACTTGTTTACTTGTTTACTTGTTTACTTGTTTACTTGTTTACTTGTTTACTTGTTTACTTGTTTACTTGTTTACTTGTTTACTTGTTTACTTGTTTACTTGTTTACTTGTTTACTTGTTTACTTGTTTACTTGTTTACTTGTTTACTTGTTTACTTGTTTACTTGTTTACTTGTTTACTTGTTTACTTGTTTACTTGTTTACTTGTTTACTTGTTTACTTGTTTNTTAAAAAAATTATTCTTAGGAATCAAAGCAATATATATATAAAGTCGTCTTCCTTTTATTGTTATAATCGCCGACCACTAAGATTAAACTTGTAGCTCTGGATAAGCTGAATGGTCGGGATCTGTGTGGAGCTGCTCTAGAAATATCTCTCGCGAAACCTCCCTCTGACAAGAAGAAGAAGGAGGACATCTTGAGGAAGAGGGAGCAGAGGATGATGCAAGCCATGGCCGAGAGGTAAATATTTTACTAAATACTTGATTATTTGATACGGATTTTTTAAAGTTATTTCTTTTACCAAATCATCTTTTCAGGAAATTCCTTTTTCTTTAATTTGTATGAGTCTGTTTTTAATGATATATCATTGGTTGACACTAAAGATGCGGGTTTTGACAGCAACTATTTTTCTCTTGGTTGAAATTTAGCCCCTTAGATCCGGATCGTAACTCCTAAATTTTACATTGTAAAAAACCTACAATTTTTCCAAACTGAAAATCTATTTTGAATGTAAATAAAAAATTTGCATACAGCAAATAATTATTTAGGCTTTGAATTTGCTTCGAACGTATTTTGTCTAAAAGATAATCCAACATGAAATGTGACACTTAAATATTAAAAAAATTTTTTATCATAAATGAATTTATCATATTTGTTTATTTTATTAAGGATTAAAATGAAATTATGAAAATATCATTAAAACAAGAAAATTCCTCCAATAATGTAGATTAGTCACCGAAATAAAAGTCTTCTTGAATTCAACAAATTTAGAATTTGATGTAGATAATAGACCAAGAACAAACCTCATATAGTAAATAAAGAAGGTGTTAGTTTTTAAAATTCAACAAATTCCTAAAATTCTTGAATTAAATATTTCCGATGCAATCACTGAAACCAGCCCTACAATATCAAGCTTTTGTGTTACTTTGCTTCTAAGTAATCTAGATAAATGGTACATTGGATGTTAATTTTATTTATTTTCTATTTTAAAGGGACTGTAAGTGTAGTTTCAAGATGTCAATGCTAGATTCACGGTGGTTCCCTTAAAAGTATTGTCTGATCGGTTATGTATTAGACATCTATGTATTAGACATCTNCTAACGATGATTTATTGACAAATTTCTGATGAAAAATATGTTCGTAAACATCTAATTAGTTTAATGTAGAAATTTTGTTACATTTTTCTTCGTTGTTTTTGAATAGTTTTTTTAACCGATTCTTAAATCATTCCTCCAAAATGAACAATCATTGAGGATTTTAAATATTGAATTTGCGCTCTAGCGGAACAAATTTGCGCCTTAAGAACGTCTCAATAATATTGCAATCTCAGTTCAACTACCATACATTGCCGGTCACTCCCTTCTGTTGATTTATTGATTCATTCCTTTGTGCATATATTCAACTTTTCAGCTATTCTGTTTTATTCTTCATTAGTTCCATATTCATCATTTCAATTAATCACCATTTCATTCACCTATAAATTTATCCACTCTTTCATTCTTCCTATCTTTCCATTTGCCTATATAGTTAGTCATTCATTTGCCAATTCATTTCATCATTTTATTCACCTGTGTATGTAATATTTATCCATTCATTTCATCTTTGTATTCCTCTATATATGTAATATTTATCCATTCATTTCATCTTTGTATTCGTCTATATATGTAATGTTTATCCATTCATTTCATATTTTTATTCGTCTATATATGTAATGTTTATTCATTAATTTCATCTTTTTATTCCTCTTTATATGTCATATTTATCCATTCATTTCATCTTTTTATTCCTCTATATATGTAATATTTATCCATTCATTTAATCTTTTTATTCCTCTATATATGTAACATTTATCCATTCATTTCATATTTTTATTCCTCTATATATGTAATATTTATCCATTAATTTCATATTTTTATTCGTCTATATATGTAATATTTATCCATTTCCTTTATCTTTTCATTCGCCTATAATATGTAATGTGTATCCATTCATTTCATCTTTTTATTCCTCTATATATTTAATATTTATCCATTTATTTTATCTTTTTATTTGTCTATATATGTAAAATTTATCCAGTTATTTCATCTTTTAATATATTTATTATTTATCCATTCCTTTTATCTTTTCAGTCATGATTGATAGACTATTAGTTTAGTTGATTAATTTGCCAATTGATTAATTGATTGGCGGACTTGTTGATTTGTTGATGAGCTCCTTAAATCGGGAACAGTATTCGCAAATAATCAGTAAATAGATGTATTTCAAACCTGTAATAAAATACAGGTATAATAAAATTAAATGACAATGTTAATAAAATTAAATGACAATGTAAATAAAACTAAATAACAATATAATGTTAATAAAACTAAATGACAATGCTAATAAAATTAAATGACAATGCTAATAAAATTAGATGATAATGTTAATAAAATTAGATGATAATGTTAATAAAATTAGATGACAATGTTAATAAAATTAGATGACAATGTTAATAAAATTAAATGACAATGTAAATAAAACTAAATAACAATGTTAATAAAATTAGATGACAATGTTAATAAAATTAGATGACAATGTTAATAAAATTAGATGAAAATCTTAATTAAATTAGATGATAATGTTAATAAAATTAGATGACAATGTTAATATAATTAGATGACAATTTTAATAAAATTAGATGACAATGTTNTAAGAATAGATGACAATGTAAATAAAACTAAATGACAATAAAACTAAATGAAAATGAAAATTAGATGACAATGTTAATAAAACTAAATAACAATGTTAATAAAATTAAATGACAATGTTAATGAAACTAAATGACAATGTTAATAAAATTAAATGACAATATTAATCATAATAATGAAGGATTTGGATTGGTTGGAGTATCTGGTTCAATTGGAAGATTTGGGGTTGGTAAAGACGGCATCACGCAAGGGTGGGGGTTAGGAGATAGGTTTATGGTCAACAGGACTTCATTATTGTTTTAATGTCGTCTTCCTATTTTACAGTTTTCTGATTATTTTTAGCTAGGTTGAAAAGGAATGTTAAAGATATAGAGAAGTCCATTAAATGTTAAAGAACTGAGTCTTTGCCACAAACTATGATTTTCTATTCTCAATTTATCTTAGCAACCTGATGGTGGAAATGTTTAATACATTATTTAATCCAACAGAAATATACAGAAATATTCTAAACATGTCTACAACATTGAATTACAAAGATATAGGAATAAGAAAATCAGAATTTGTGGCAAAGACTTAATTCCTTTGTTCCAAATCTCGCTTAAAAGTACTGTTCACTGTAAATATTTATGTTATGTTGTGAAATTCTCTCTTACCCCTATATACCAAATATTCACATTCTCAATTTAAGAATATATGACACGCCTGTTTCAAAATGGATCCCCTGAAAGGCTAGGACAGGATATCCAAAGATTTTAAACTCGAAAATTGATTATTTTCATTGAAAAACGACGATATTTTTTACATTTTTGAATGGTTTCAAGGTTTAAAGGGTACCGTACTGTGAACTGTTCACAACCCATCTTTATAAAGAGAGTAACTTTTAATTACAAAGAAGCGTAGAATTTAAGCGGATAAACTTGGGATATTAATAATATTTTTATAGATGTAGAAACAGAAAATATAAAACTCATATTAAAGACTAAAAAAATACAAATGTTTTATAAGTTTTGTCTCTTGAAATATTATATTTACAATTCTTTTTAAACAATTTGCCTTGTTTTAAATTCCTCCCGGAATCTTGATACTATTAATTTAAGTGTTCAATTTTTCATTCTGTCTTTTTATTCATATACTAGCTCAAGTGCCCGTCGTTGCCCATGGAATTTTAGACACAAATTAAAAACAGTTTTAATTAAAAAAAGTTTTATTTGAAAAAAAATTTAATTTTGAAAAGGAACTAATTTTATTCGAAAATTTTTGTTTAGCTTATCTTACTGCCAGGGTACCCATGGGTTCCCAAAAAATGTTCAGCCAACATATATCTTTGCAAATATACAAATATGAGAGAAATTTTATTATATAGATATCATACTAAAATTTTTTAGGAACGATAAAAGCTCAACAATATAAAAAACTATTTTCATTTCAAAATTCTTTTACTTCGTTTGAAATAAAAATCACTTAAAATCAACAAAAATATCGCTTGTTTGAAAGTCATCTAACGTTTGCCAAATACGCGTTTTTTGTTGAATTTAAGCGAATATTTAGACCCATTTCGTAGCCATCTAAATTTTGCCAACAAATAAGCGAATTTTAAATTTTGAAATTTAGAATTTGCTTAATAATGGGCAAAATAAAAATTTTATATTTTTGTACTTAAATTTATTTCCAGAAAAACATTTTTATACTGAAGAAATGAGCCAAGTGCCGACGTAGTTTCAATTCAAAGCTTTGAATTATTAGAAATTGATGAGATATCCATCATCTTCTCCTTAAAAACTGACTATTCATTGTGGTCTTTATGCAAAAAGTTTTACGCTTTACAGCTTCAAAATAACAGAAAATTTTCAGAATGTAACACTTTCCAATCTAAAAAACGACGATATCTTCCACATTGTGCACTCAGATGAAGCCTTATGGGGTACCATTGTGAATCTGCGCCCGCCCCTCTTTTTAAAAGTTAAACGATTGTTCCTTTCAATTTGTGTCTATACTACATTAAGCTCAACCAGTATTTACTTTTCTTTGCATTATTAAGTTTTTATTCCGAATGAAATTACAAGAGTGATGTTGCTTGAACTTAAAATGCAAAAGGCAGAGTTAAATAATAATTTCAAGTTGGAATTCTAAAGTCTCTTTAAAGATTATTTTCCAATTACGGTTTACTTTGAAAATTTAGAAACCGCTAAATATATAGATTATTAGATTGTTTTCAAAACTAAAAACTAAAAAAACGTTTAAACTCAAGTAACATTTTTCAGTTTTGACTGTGATTGGTTCAGCCGTTTTGATGTTTATATAGTCCTAGCTTGGAAACCCAGCTTTGTCTGGAAACTGAAATTTCTCTTAAACGTCAACTTCGTCCCAAACTGTATCAGTCCAGGTACAACCCGTCTGCTATCAAAATCTACCAGGACACGCTCCAAATGGCTACAATCTCGTGAACTATCAACGCCACTACCACTGGGCGCGATCCTGTCAGCTATCGGTGTCGATACGGACACTAGCTATTAATTGAGCTCTAAATGCCGCACAGGGACACAAGCGTATCTATCAAACAAGCTATTAATAGAGCTCTTAA